TAATTGAAAGTTATCCCCTAAACTGAGTTTTTCTTCATTGAAAAAATTGAAGTAACCAATTTGGCAATGGTACTGGCGATAATGTAATATATTACTGCCAAAGTTATTAGAGTTCCAGATTTAAAATCCAGTAGATCTTAACGTGCTGCACTTTATAAAACTACAGAAAAGAAAAAATAAGAAATTTATTCCACTTTGTTAACTTCATTCCCAGAAGACTTTGAGCGTTCAAGCAAATAAAACAGAAGAATTTTAATTCTTTCTTCTTTGAAACATAGATCAAAAAATATATATATATTTTTCTCTTCAAAACAGTTTATTTAAATTTATAAAACTTTTTTTCACTGTAGCATATCGCAGTGGTAATTGTTTTCGAGAGACAAAAAAGAGAACGATTCAAACAACATTTCTTTAAAGATACGGAATTATGAAAAATTTTTTTACGCGAAAAGTATCACAAATGACAGCGAAAGTGTTCCCAAAAAATTTTATGGAAAATTTTCTCTGCGCATTCAGAAGACAATTGGGATTTGCTCATTATCGCCTAATTCAATATGTTGGCTCAACAATTACCTCTGTTTTTCTTACCAGGTAAAAATTACGAATATTTCAGCATTAATAACGCTATCTTCTATGCTTAAATTGAAAAAGATAACTTTAATAGTGTTCAAATAAAACCATTGAAAAAATTTTTTTTCTATTTTTCCATCACAGTTTTAGCCGGCAGTCCCATTAATTCATCGAGTAGTTAGTAGCTGTTAAATTTACTTCGCTAATCTATCCATAAAAAAACCAACAATAAATTTTTTTTTTTTCCTTTTTGCTTCTAACCACAAATTTGTTCTGAATATTTGAAAATAAAGGAAGAAAATGAGTCAAGAAGTAAAGTAATTTACAAAACAAAAAACTTGCATTTGTGTCTTTTGTTATTTCCAGTCATAGCAGCACAGTCATTGAATTTATTGGATTCAAGTTGGGCAGAACGATTTAAGCCGTATAGTTACGAAAAAAAACAATTACCGGGTAAACGTTTATCTGTCTCTCTGTGGTTCAAAAAAAAAAAAAAACGCTTCTTCAAAGCTCACATTTAAAAAATTGTTTTCGGTTTCTGAAACCCAAGTTAATGTTTACAAATGACAGTGATACTAAAAGTTGGTTCTACTCAGCATTTTTCTATTTTCACCTATTTCGACCGCAAATACACCTTCACTGGTCTACAATAGACTCCCATTAGCTATCACATTCCAGGTGAAGAAGTTGATCATAGCGATATTGGTTACAGCAAACAGGGAATGAAGGATCTTGATGAAGTGAGAAAATGCTTTTTTAAATCCTCTTTGAAATTATCTGGTTATACGAGAAATCTTTACTTTGCTATTAATAGCCTTAATTAAAAATAATATGTACTCCATCTATATCAGGACTCTTAAAATCTACAAAACTGTAACAACCATATTCACACTGTCCAATTTTTTTTGTACTTTATTAGTGCTATGAAACTGCTGCCAAAAATGAATACTTTTTTAACACATCTGACAAATATACCCTAATTTTCGATAACAGCAGAAAAATTAGGGCAGAAATTAAGAAGAAATTGTCCTTTTCATCAACCCTTTTCAACGGTTTTCAAATGGAAACCGAGTATTCTCTACATTGAATCGAAACAATTAGGGCTGCAAAAAACGCTCTTCTTTAACTTTTTTAGGTTCACAGGAAATCCACTAACATCTAAATTTTTTATCTTTCTGACTACAAGCGAATTGATTTTAATTATCATACCACGATTCCCAAAATAGTGCTCCAACTACTAAATCAGTAGTATTGGATCCTTTACAAGCAGTCCCAGTGTCTGATTTTCTAACATTGTTTCCAAGTTATAATAGTGAGTGTCATTTCACATTCTTTTTCGTTATAAAACATTCAAAATGACACTGTTAAGAGTGGCTGACTGAAAAACGCTTTGATACTGCTGTCAA